ACCTGAAATCGCTGAAATAGCGAAGTGACCGTTGCCATACATACGCAATTGCATATGTGTTGCCTACCTTTAATTGACGGAGGAGAGGATGCACAGAAAGAAAATATTTTCCCTTTCCATGCATCCTCTCATCCGGAAAGTCCACTTCCAATTCCCATCCTTTCCTTATAAGAAAAAAGGGTGAGAAGGGAAAGAGGACTAAATTAGGCCTCCGGGATGCTATTATAACATATTATATCTCATATCAATAATTCCTATCCTATTATTATATTATAGTATATTCTTCACAATATGTCCGGTCCGTCAAGGTCACAATGTGACAAACCAAGTTTTACCCAATCATAAATTAAATAACTACAAAATGATCATAACTTCTTTATAATTATTCTTAGCCCACTGCAAGTGATCACACACTTTCAAACATAAGTTTTTTCAAAGTTCGCATAGGAACTCAAGCTCAAAAGTTAAGGGATAACTTAATAAAAAAAATCAGACATCTCCCCTCCGGGACGGACAATCAGCGGGCCTCCCGACAAATTGATAAGATTTGCGAAGCCCCAACAAGCCGACAAAGTAATTTGCGCAAAATTTACCCTTGTTCTGATTCAAAGTTTTCACTTGCGTTCATATTTATAAAGACGTTAATAGCATCATAGATTAAAATGGATTGTATGTAGTTCCTTATTTAAATTAAAAATAATTCTTGTGGTACCACTAAAAAGTATTGTTCCAAAACAATTTATTTTCATTGACTATGTTGCCAATACGTGACTTAAACCTTGAATTTGAACACTCATCTTTAAGCCTAATATTAAATTGGACTTAGCCAAATATTAGAAAAAAAAGATTGAACTTCCTTCCTCCATTTTTTAAAATTCCTTTGTCACTTACATCCTGTAGTTTTTTGTTTGTCATTAAGTTCAGGTTGATTTTATGTCGTAGTATAACAGCGTCGTGCCTGCCACTAGTTTCCTCCCTACAAAACTCACAAGTAACTCATAACTTGTAATAGCGTAATGTCCGCGAAATTGTCTCGTTATTCAATTATAAGGATTCACGATTGATGATCCTTTGTCCTGTCCGCGTGGATAAGGAAAAACATTAAGACAAATGTATCTTCTTTCTTTACTTTTAATGGTGATTTGCATTAAGATATGTTTAATATATATCTGTTTGTCGTCTTGTTTGTATCATTGTCGATATATCGTCAAGTAATAATTACAGAGGCAAAGATACAATAGAAAACTTGTTTAACAAATGTCAAACCAAGCAAACGATGTAATTGTAAGTATTCTAAACCAATGAAATCTAAGAGGCTAGACAGAGTGCATTCGCTAACGAAACCGAAACGATTCCGTAACGAACTTCAAAAATGTATAGAACCGACAATAACTTTCGATAAGTTAAATCATTGTCGCGCGTCAGTTCTACACATTTTTTAAATTTATTATGGAATCGCTTCGTAGCGAATGCATTGTAACTAGGATCTCTGGAACTATTGATTTCCAATTGAACTACAGTTTCGTTACATTACAAAAAAAACATTCTTACGAACAAACTTTCGGGAAGTAATCATTTTAATTTTATAAGTTTAGTTCAGGCTGTTGAAACGAGGCAAAATTATAAAATTTATGTCTACAAAATTAGAACATATTGAGAAATATTTCACACGTAGGTAGTCTAATGTAAAACCTATATTTGGTATTCATTACATGCGATAGACGTTTTACGAGTAAGTGGGCAATAAACAAGGAAAGTAAAACGTTCTCACGTACTTCCGACGTAGCAAGACTTGAACATTCAATAACTAGTCGTTAAGGTATTTCCTCTGAGTCGATAAGGTACATTTCCACTGCAAAAAGTAAGTTTCGCCAATAGTATTTCAACCGAGGAATTCAATTTGATTAGATTCCTTTCTAACCAATTTATCCTTGGAAATTAGAATCAAATTACATTCTCCTTAAACAAAACTTAGATAATGATGATGATGATGACTTATGTTTCATTAGTGAATATTCAAAGATTAAAAAAACGGCTGGCAAATTTCAAAGACCAATATTTTCTTTATGTGCATCCTCTCCTCCGTTGATTAAAGGTCGGCAACGCATATGCAATTGCATATGTCTATGGGCAACGGTCACTTCGCTATTTCAGCGATTTCAGGTGGCCGCTCGTTCGTTTGCCACCTTATGATATAAAAAAAAAGTATGGATGGATTATGTGACAGAGGAAATGCATAAGAAGGGAGTGAGTTCAGATATGACGGCTGACACAGATGTAAGGGCAGGTTGATAATGATGGTATATGCACCAAAAACTACTTTTTTTTAGTCTCCATTTCCATCACAATTTGAACAGTTTCGCTGACAGCGGTGTAATGAACTGGCGGCAGTTAAAACAAACCGGCACTCACTTGATTAACTCCCGCTGTTATAAAACTGGCAGCCGACTTTAAATTCTAACAACTCCATCGCACAAGCTTTATGAACACATGAACGATAAACTCTGGCTATAAAGATTTTATTAGACAATTAAATGTAACAAAAATATGCCTTAGATAAAGAATTTCATCTATCTGTATATTCTATTATTATATATATAATATATATAAAAATCTGCACATATCATAGAAGAAATTCAAAGATATGTGTGAAGTCAACCAACCCGCACTTGGCCAGCGTGGTTGACTATGGCCTAATCACCCTTAACTTAGGGTAGGGTAGGTAGTGGGGACGTATAGTGAGCTGATGATGAAGATATATAAAAATCAATTGTTGTTCTTCTCTAAAACTCGATAACGGCTAAACGGATTTATATTATCTTGATCTTCAAATGTTGGTGGATGTCTAGGAAAGGTTTAAAAGGTGAGAGAAATTCGAATAATTGCCGAGAACTAATTAAGTTTTTTTTCATTCCCTGTGGACGGAGTCGTGGGTGACAGCTATTAGTTGGTTAGTTTTTTTTTGCAATTGTGCAAATTCGAAAAATAGTCAAATATGTATTTGATATTTACGTAACGGATGTAAATACGAAATATTTCTATGTCCTTTTTAATATTACAAAGTCATGTCATCCCCGAGGATGATTTAGTCTCGTTATACGCGTTCCTCGCAGCAAATAAGATTTTCGTTTTCTATCCTTACTCGCATAATTTATTCACGTGTTCTTATTACGTCGATGTTCTATTTGTGTTTTGTATTATGGGGATTTTGTTGTCTGTTTATAAATAACATATTTTATAGAACATTTTATAATAAAATGATTGAATCGCTTACTAGGTTTATCACATATTTTGGCTAAAATAAAAAAATGGCAGATTTGCTGGAAGGTATCTCCAAAAGGGAAGCGTGGATATCGCTGAAATTTTGCATAGATGTAGAACAGTCTGGAAGAACACGTATGCTAGTTATTTAGCCTCGCGCACAGAGTCGTAGGTGTCAACTAGTAAAGGGCAAAACAGTCAACTTAATTTCGCACTTTGAGAGTACCTAAATCGTTTTACCCAAACACAAGTACATCATTGAAGTTGTTCAACATTCGCCGTAAACGAAATGTTTTCATGTTTATTGTGATGAATTAACATTTAATGTTGACATTCAAGCAGTTATTGTCGGAGTATAACTACGACGCCCGACTTCACTCGCATTACTGCCGACGTTAATTAAGAGATGACTTTTGTTGAAGGGGAGACATTAAAACCTGCCGTTAGTACGTTTTAAACTCCACTTTATTTGAAGCCTCGCAAATAAAAGACCTGTTTGTTACAGTAACTAATTTCAAAAATCACGAGTGTTTTTAACCTATATAATACTGTCAGACATAGCAATCTCATACCAGTATGTTTGTTAACTAGCTGTCACGCGCGAAGTTCCCGCGAAATTAAGAAAAAACTTAATTAGTAGCCTTTGTTCTTCTAGACTATGTTTTACATCTATGCCAAATTTCAGTGAGATCCATGCAGCGGTTCTGGAGATACCTTCTAGCAAACATCCAACCACCTATCGATGCATACAACCACCCAAACATTCGCATTTATAACATTAGTAAGATATTATTCGACGAAGGAGGAGAAGCACAGAAAGAGAATATTTTCCCTTACCCTTCCCTACCTTTCCATATAAGAAAAGGGTGGGAAAGGAATGAGTACTAATTAAGGTCTCTAGCACGCACATTGAACGAACGTAGCGACGTAGTATTATAATGTTTAGAAATTTAGTTATGGTTGGATTTAGAACAAAGCAATATCCTGGCATTTAACTTCCCGGGCCATCGTAAATCTTATCAATCTGTCGGGTCCGCCGATTGTCAGTCCCCGGGGAACCCTGACCGAGATTTCATTCAATTATCAAACAACCAACAAACATTTCATGTAAATTCTGTATTACAAATGACATTACAAGGAATCATGGAATCATCTACAGATTGGTAAATGCGAATGTTTAGATGGATGGATGTTTGTTTGAAGGTATCTCTAGAACAATGGAATGGATCTCGGTGAAATTTGGCATGGATTTAGAACATAGTGTGGAAGAACACATAGGCTACTAATTAAGTTTTTGTAATTACACGCGGACGGAGTCGCTGGGGAAAGCTAGTCACAAATAAGGTCGAAATCAAAGCATGAACTAAATTTAATTATTTTGAAAGTTTATACTTTCTATCTTTAAGTTGATTTTAACTAATATGTTCTGGGACACAATTGATGCTCATATAATTGGAAACACGAATATATTGTTATCCCTATCTTTTCAAGGAGAGTGACAAGAATGACGATATGTTTTGTACAATTGTTCACTCTTGAACACACACAGTAAAAATTACTAAGAGAACTTGAAAAAAAAACCATATAATAATCAAATAACAAAAGTGTTTTGGTCCATGATGAGTAATAAAAACTAAGAAATTTGTCCGTCCAAAGTACATTTTCCTGTTTGTTCACAACATTGATAAAGCTATGAGTGGTTAGCAAACGTTGTTGTTTAAACAACCTATAACTTTAAGTGGTCTAATAAAACAACAGAAAACAGAAACAAATCAGTCAACTAACAACCACTGACAGAAGTGTAACAAACAATAATAAAATCATAACACTTTTATTGCATTCCAGTGTACTCAATAATTCATAAAAAAATGTGTCGCGTATATTTGTGTATTTTACTCGTAACTTTTGCTTCAAGTTTAGACGGAAAGTCGAAAAAACACGCCTCACCACCACATTGCACTCAAGTCACTAAAGGTAAGCAACTAATCTATTGATAAAGTCAAAGATTTATTTATTTATTTATTTTAATATCGTGTAATGTAAATTACACCAGGTTTTGTCTTCTAATTTTTTATAGTATAAGGTGACAAACTAATAGACGATTGTCTACTTAAAAGTGAAGATGAGAGGACGCATAGAAATAGGATATTCTTCCTTTATAAGCATTCCCTTCTCCGTCGAATCCTTGTACTACTATTAGGAAGAAAATCCATCACTGTGCCAGTGTACTGGCGCAACACTAGCCTTATTAAAATGTCAACGTTTATGTCCCCTCACTAATCATTCTGACAATTGACTTGGCAACGAAAGCGCGCCATTCGCGTCAAAGGATTCTAACTAATAATGTCTAAAAAAACTGACGGGAAAGGGGACTAAAATTAGGCTCCCAGCACGCATAATCATCAGACTGTATGTGGAATCTTCCACTTGACGCCTGTCTTCTGTATGGTCATGGTATTGCACAACAGATGATGTTGTTGCTGGCGTCTACCACCTAAACAAAAACCCTAGCGTGAAACAAAACTAAACCGTTATGTGTACAATGAAACTCGGTTATACTTGCATAATGTTTGTTTTTACTAGTATATAGTACTATACTTTATACTTTTAGACATTATTAGTTAGGATCACTCGACGCGAATGGCGCGGTTTCGTTACCAATTCGAATGTCAGAATGATTAGTGAGAGGCCATAAACGTTGACATTTTAATAAGGCTAGTGTTGCGCCAGTACATCGGCACAGTGTCGGATTTTCTTCCTCACGTACTATATTTTTTTAATTATAGACACAGATTATGCAAACCGATTTAAGTTGACGTATCCCGTGGTTTACATTATACCCGGACAACGTGAAGCATATCAACAAGTGAGTATACATAATTAGGTATCTGTAACTATTTGCTAACTGTAAGTAAACTGATTAGACGTTTAATTTATGTTGAGTTAATATTTTATACTGTATAAGTTTATTATCAAACTTACATCTTCAAAGAAATCTAACTAGATGTTAAATAAACCCAACTAAAGCAAAGGTTCATTTTACTTCTTACTAATATCATAAATGCGAAAGTTTAGATGGATGTATGTTTATTAGGAGGTATCGCCAAAACAGATAAATGAACCCAGATGAGATTTGACACAGTAGAACATAGTCTTCAAGAACACATAGGCTACTAATTAAGTTATTTTATAATTTCTCGCGGACGGAGTCGCGTGTGACAGCTAGTTTAGACATAAGCAGAAATCGTACGAATAACGCTCGGCAGTCTCTTCAGAGCGAGACAAACGCATTATTTCTTAAACGTAAGATCTTACGAATCTGGATTATGTTCAAATGAACCTCACCACTTCTGGCAAGAATATGTTCTCAAGAAAATCTCTGAATATCTTATCAAGTGACACTACTTATATTCCAGATGTTCTGTATCAATCCATCAGAGGTGAATAAAGCGGTGACCACAGTATGCGACTGGGCAGCACCCCCACAGGTACAGTTCACATTGGGCGACGAGTATATGCACGTAGTACGCGTTGACCCAACGGGACGTTACCAGGGCAACGCTGTCATCACCACCTACCAGCTCTGCAGCCACAATATACCACATGATATGGCCAACGTCACCATGGCACCTCGTGTGGTTGAAATTGAATATTAAAGTTATATACCAGGCTCAACACTGGTACATTTATAAGTGATAACATTCATAGCCTTAATACGCTAATATATATTTTTTTTGTTCAGTAAAGGAATTAAAAATTCATCTGTTGGTTTTTGTGTTTATTCGGAACTATTTTTTTTAGTTACAAAGGTTAGTAACAACCATACCCACCCATACGTTTCCCAATTTTCCTTTGCTCCTTATAGAAAAAAATCAAGAAACATAAAGTAAGTATCGGCGAGTTACTTCAAAAACACTTAAGGACGTCACTCAAGAAAAAACATTAAGTGTATTCCGTCCATTACCATCACTTACGACTGCCCGAGCGAGCACGCGAGCTTGCCTCTATAATTATGCTGCCTAGTGTACGAGCCAGTCGGGTGACTACGACGTGTTGCTGTTAATAATATATAATGAACATAATTATACAAACTGAATGCAAGAAACTATTTAAAAGACAACAAAATCGTAGAAGTAAAAACAAATTATAATTTACTAACCACGCAGCAACTAGATAGTTCTTGTGAAAAGTATATTTAAAGATAAGGTAAGTATTGCAGTCCAGTCCAGTAATACGGTCTTATCGTAATATAGTGGTCACCCGCGACTCCCTCCGCGCGGAAGTAAAACAAAAAACATAATTAGTAGCCTATGTGTTCTTCCAGACTATGTTTCATATGTATGCCAAATTGATGACAATATGAAAAGATTTGTTCAGGCGTTCTGGAGATATCTTCAAACAAATATCCATCCATCCATCTAAATAGTAAGATTATACTACAATCTAAAAATTGTTATAGAAAGTACCATTATTTAATATTTAATATTAATAGAAATAAACATATAAACTAAGTAATTGCAATACAAAAGGGAGATGATTACCGCCAGGGGTCGCTTCGTCGCATTATAGTGGGACGGAAAGCATAACTACGACTAAGGTCGTCCAATTATCGTTGTTATACTGTCTAACGACATACTATAATAGTGTTATGGTTCCTCTCTAGTATATGACTCCTATCTTCATCTAATCTAACTAATATTATAAATGCGATAGTTTAGATGGATTGATGTTTGTTGGATATCTCTAGCACTACTCAACTGATCTTGCCGAGACATAGTCTGGGAAAACACATTGGTTTGCACACACGCAGTCGCTGACAACAGCTATAGTACACTGTTGACTGAGCTTCTAGTCTCATGTTATTTTATTTAAACTTGATGATAAACTGCAAATAGATTTTAGGGACATTCCTTTATCCTTGTTAAAAGTTTGGAATTTAATTGACCTAATAGTACCTTATTTTATTGTAAAGTTATTGTAGTAAATAAAAATTCGATGTTCAGAACGCTACCATAGATAAAAAATCAAATATACAGGCGGATAAAAAAGACGTAGTACAATCATTCCAGGCTCGACTGTGAGATAAAAGTGAAAAAACGAAGTCACTCCTCGTGTCCGACGATCTATCAAACCGGCAAAAATAAGAGAAATGGCCAAAGTTATTTCAGTGTTACGATCGGGGAAACGATCTATGGTTTGTTTTTTTTATTCTATTTTTATTGAATTGAAATAAAAGTCGAGGAATCGAGTTAGAAATGCCAAAAGGATAACACCGAGTTTTAACTTTTTTATGCCCATCAGACCAACCATATAATAAATAAACGTAAATTGGCATATTTGTTAACAATATTCTTTTAAAATTTGATTTCATAATTAGAACAGAGGGATTTCTTTCATACACTTTGTTTTTAATCCAGAATCAATATTAAACAAATTGTTTGTTGAAGGAACATTAAATACATTATCACTATTCTAGAACTCAGTCTGTTACTGACTTTACAAAATTTTTAAAAATAAAATCTGCACCTTGTCCCAATTTATCTGACACTAACTGTACAGAGACAAAGAAAGCGAACCTGGAGGATCCAATTTAGTGAACGAATGTTTGTTTTGTTTGTTGTTCGTTTCATTTTTAATGTCGTCAGTGGAAAACGTTGCACTGAAAAGGTGCAACAAAAGTATGACAATATCCCAATCTTACTAATCTTACATACTAATATTATAAAAGCGGATGTTTAGGTGGATGGTTACACGGATGGATTTATGGATATTTGTTTAAAGGTATCTCAAGAACGGCTGAACGGATCCGGCTGAAATTTGGCATAGTCGTAAATAAAGTAGGCTACTAATTACGTTTTTTTTTAATTCCGCGCGGCTTGAGTTGCGGGCGACAGCTAGCCTAAGATAAATAGTATCTTGCCATGCCTATATTTCTAATCGTCTTCTTCAAAAAATGATTTTGACAAAAGAAACATGTGATAATATCCAATAAAGTATTGATGGGATTCGATAAAAAACGCCACAAAAGTTTTCCCGCGTAACGACTGAGGAAACGATTTGTTCCATCTCAGTTCTATTGGCGGTTGAAATGAAATTGTCATGGAAGATATTGGATGAAATCATGAAACTATTCTTATTATGTGACGACCCCACTGCACCCATAATGAAAATATAGTAATTATTTTTTTGGTATTGGTAGATTGGTAAATTGTGAAAGCAGGAATTGTACTCTGGTCACTTGTTTAGCTTTGTACTCTAGGGTCTTTTGTCTATCCCCGTTGGTAATGGTCGTGAGCTGTGTAATTTTTTTCTTTACTCCAAAAGTGTTTTGGTGTAAAGAGGTTTTAACTTAAAATGGCATACCAACATGTTAATGCTTTTATTTTTAAAAGGCATAGATAGTGTTGTAACAATAAACGTAACGATATCTGCATAACGGTCGCATATTAATAACATAATGTAATTAAAATTGCACAAGGACATAATAACAGTTCAGATAATAGCGCACTCTGTGAAAGTAGAACAGTTGAAATTATTATAGGATAAACTGAAACAACCAATATTACAATTTTCTATCTAATATTATTTTCAAACTAAAACCTGTTAAAATCATTTGTTTACATTAGCAGATGGAGAAATAAGCAAACGAAGTACTAAATGCAACTTCTAAGAAATATTTTACACTCGTTTTTGCAGGATGGTAAAAGGTAAAGGACGCCCCTATAACAATTCATAAACCTAATTGATTTTATGTCTGTAATATTATTGACATATGTAATGGAAGAAATTGTGGGTGTCAAGGGGGTTCATATCTGGGCTGATAATCGTTTGTAGAAAGCATCGTTTAAGATAATTCTGGTAGTTAATACATTAAAAAAACTCACTTTTAATAAAATATTTCTCGTTATCACAATCAATTTCCATTTTGTACGTTTTCTACTAGCTTGGGAAAAATCAAAGAGTTTATAATATTTTGACAGTAAGTTTGTACTCTTTGAATGATTTCTTAAAACAGCTGATGGTGACAGTCACAGTGACAGATTGACAGCTTCAAAATTGCCAAAACGAAAACAAAAATAAATTTGGTTACAAGAGTAATATTTACAGCAAACGAATCAAGGACACCTAAACCAACCGTAAAATAGTAAAAAAAAATTGTAACTTATGATTGCTCTTCGGCGGCTAAGAAGTACTAGCTTCCACTTAGGTAATATAATTTTCTACTTAGAAATAATTCGAACCCTTAGTATAGTCCCAAAACCCAATAATAACTTTTCAAAATGATATGCTAGTGTGACATATTATACATGTATAAACACAGCACATAGTCTTCGATACTATCTATAATGCTGTTAATTCGCTGTGAAACCTTACACGTTACTCGATTTACCTTTATACCTCAAATCCCTTTATATCTAAAGTTGTACCGCATGTGTTGTGTTGTATTAAGATTGGATTAAATAAAAGGTGACAAAAAATAAAATCTAAAATTTAATATTACAGGAAAAATACATCTAGTTAACATGAGTGTAGAAAGTGGTATGGTTGCAAATTCAATTCGCAACAAACTGCAGAATTCATTAGAAGCTACTCATTTGGATGTGATAAATGAATCTTACATGCATAATGTACCCAAAGGTGCAGAAACACATTTCAAAGTTGTTGTGGTCTCTGATAAATTTGATGGACTTGCTTTGATCAAGGTAAGGGAAGAGTTTTATATTTTCTTAGCTTATATAAACAATGTCATACAAATTGGTACAATTTGTGTGTCCTCTAAATACATGAAAATAGACTAAAGGGTGAAAATAATTTATAGGTCTTGAAGATATGAAAATATAAAACATGGACATACAAAATTTATGATAAAATTCTCTCTCCCTCTGAACATGAGTGCTGTTTGTCTTCTTGTATTTATGACCTTCTTCTTCTAATGCCTCTCCATTACTGGAGGTTGGCCGTCAGCTCAACGAACCCTTTCCTGTCCTGTGCCAAGCAAAATTATGACCAAAAAAATTTAATTCAAAAATTAATTGTTTTCAGAGGCATCGCTTAGTGAATGATATATTAAAGGAAGAATTACAGAATGGAGTCCATGCATTGTCTATCGTAGCAAAAACAACAAAACAATGGGATGAGAGTGAAAAGATTATTGATAGTAGCCCCAGCTGCAGAGGTGGTTTTGGAAAATAAATTAGTCTGCTTTAATCATATTGCAGTTTAAATATTGAAAAATATGGTACACAATGTATACAAACTTTCCAACAAAAATTTGTTATCAGAAAGCTTGTTAATTTATTTCCTAGTGCATATTACCATTGGTTTCCACTACTGAAACAATTAACCAAAAATATTTTCTCTGTTTTTTCATGGTTAGAATTGCTTGTTAAGATAATGTCCACAGAAAGTTAAGTCGAAGTTTTCAGTTAAAACTGAAAGTCTGTAGTTTGAAATGTTTGTTGGAAACTTGAGTTAATAAATTGATTCTTTCCGTTTTAATAGCGTACAATAGAAGATCAAATAATTATTTTTGTGATACAATTGTTTTGAAATGTAGTTAATGTAAATAAATTTAAATTTAAAATATTTAATTGCATTTTATTATAATTATTTTAGCTTAGATTTCAACTTTTTTCATTGTAAAATTTTTTAATCAAGTTATTCTTCAAATGTGGGCAAAAGTTTGAAATTACTACCAACTTTCGGGATGGATTGTATTTCTTTCTATACAAAGTCAAGACAGAAAAATGTGAACATTTTTGTATAAAAATGAAAAAAAAAAACAACATTGAATTGTAAACATTTATTTTTCACTTTATACACATTACATACACGATTTTTTTATTTTTACCGACAATTTTCAATAAAGTACTATCGAGATTTATCTGTAATACAAATATTTATCTTATACATTTTCTTGTGTGCCTTTACCAAAATTTTTCATTGCGAATGCAACAGACTGTTGAGATTCAATCATACAAATGTTATGTTTTAAAATAACTTTTAAATCAGTATATCTAGAAAAGGCTATCTATTTGTACGAAAGTACATTTTAAACTTCACTATTATTTTCACTTAAACATATATATGCGATTGCATTTTAGTTTTATAATCTTACATTTACACTCAAGTTTGCATTGTAATGTACATACGAAAATCATTAAATATTTGGACCTTAAACAAAAGTAATTGTCAATTTTAATACCACACAGAGAAGTCGAAAAGTTTGCATGATGCAATAACTCTATGTATCACAAGACAACGGATTTAGTCTTTTAACCACATTTTTTTACACAATCACTGCTTTATTGCCACTGGTCACAAATCATCACAACATTGATACATTGACATAGATCCCAGTTCAAGAAATCAGTGATTCATTGCCGTGAATCACGGATCAACTCATCACTGATCCTTTGTCACTGGTCACAGTTCAATATAACAGTGTTTCATTGCCAAGAGTCACAGTCACAACACATTACACAGCCGCAGTCACACCGTCGCGCGGTGTGCTTAGTATCAGAGGTTGAAGTTGTCTAAGCGCAGTTTTCCCTCATTCTCAGTCAAATACAGTAAATCCGCCATTGTTTGCTCGCATATCGCTTCTTCTGCTTTCTCAGACATCTGAAAAAAAATAACAGCATAAATTTTTTGCCTTATTGTGTTTCAGTGTAGTTCAAAACCAACGGTATTGTATGAGATTAAGTTTAGAAAAAGTGACAAAAAAAATATGAAGACCAAATTAGTTATAAAAACATCAAAACTAATTTTTTAAATGCAAAAGTTTAAACGGATGGATGGATGTTTCTTTGGAGTTATCTTAGGAACGGCTCCTCGGATCTTGATGAAATTTGGCATAGATGTAGAACATAGAAGAACACATACCCTATTATTTTTTTTTAAATCCGCACTTATACTGCTTTTAACCGAGATGTACTATTTTGGTTACTAACCAACATTGTTTTCCCTATGTATTAAGTTATGGCTACTTAAATAAATTGTCCCTTACCGGTCTATAATTGTATTCAGTAGCAGGTGGAAACTTAAAATTGGGTCCAAAGTTGACGCTGACAGTGATATTCTTGTGCAATGATACAGTTGGGTAGTAGCAGCCTTGATATATGTCCGTGAACGCCTCGCCCTGGCATTCACCATTCTTGAAGAAAAATATGCGACTACCCGACAGTGGTTTTAAATTGTTGAGTGACTCTTGGATGTTGTCTTTGTCTTCGTAGTACAAGTGACTCTTGAATTTCACTAAAGGCTGTGGAAATTAGATTTATATTAACATTTTTATCCACATTTCCTTCCCACCCTTATTAGGAAAGGATGGGAAGGCGAAGTGGATATAGACCGGAGAAAGGAACGTATTGGAAAGGGAATAATTCTCTTTTTGTGCATGTGGCAACGAATCAGCTATTGCGTATGTCCGTTGGCAGCGGTCGTTTCGCCGTTTTGGCGAATTATATGCTCGCTTGCTTGTTTGTTTGATATATGAAAAAAAAAACTACGAACCCTATCTTTGTAAGTGTTAGGCGTGTGTCGTACGGCCGCGCTGTCAGGCAGCACGACGAGGAAGCCCAGCGTGTCTCCCTCCCCGTACCCCGCGCTGTAGTGCTTGCCGCGAGACTCGTGGAACCTGCAACACAATATTATATGGTATCATTCTGTTCGCACCTACAGTGTTCAAAAACTTAATTAGTGTCATGTTGATAAAAATAATCTTAATACTAATATTTTAAATGCGAATGTTTAGATGGATGGATGGATTTTTGTTTGAAATAATCTCCAGAACGGCTGAATTAATATCGATGATATTTGGGATACTTATAAAACATTGTCTGGAAGAACACATAGGCTACTTATTATGTTTTTTTTTAAATCCCGTGCGGACGGAGTCGCTGGCGTCCGCTAGTGTTATATAAATTTGCTTGGATATATGGATGGGTGGGTGTTTGTTAGAACAAAATGACTTACATGTATGTAAATGAAATTTGCTTTACTTATTCTATAATTAATACTTTGGCAAAAAAATCGTAGTTTTGTTCACAAGGTCATAGGCATAGGGAGTCTAAGTACACTCAGTTATCTTTTTTTTATCTTTTTGGTACCTGGTGCCCTTGCGGCTGCGCCACGAGTAGCCAAACTTGTCGTATCCGAGAGGTGCCTGCAGGTTGGCATAGCGGCGGCCCCAACCCAGCCGCGCCGCTGCGCCTTCAGGCAACTCCTCCACCACCGCCTCCCAGTACCACGCCCCCCGAGACACGCCTACATACACAAAACTTATCATTATAAACCTCTCATTCGTTTTCTTTGCTGCTTACTGACATCTATAAATGGACCGGCTGTATGATGTTGTATTTTGTGCCTATTCGTTTTTCGCCTTTTTGGCGATGATGGTAGCAGTATGACATTTCATGTACCATTCCAACTAAGATCTGTGCTTATGCTAGAACATGGATTACGTCAATACGAAATAAATAGATAAATAATAATATAGATAGAATTTACTGTATCGTAACAACAGAGGGGCTAGACAAAGTGCATTTGCTTCGAGGCGATTCCACAGCGAACTTCAAAAATGTATAGAACTGACAATAACATTTGGTAAGTCACGTGATTGTCGCTCGTTAATTTTATACATTTTTGAAATTCATTATGGAATCGCTTGAAAGCGAATGCACTTTGTCGAACCCCCAGGCGCGTTTAAATCGGAACGTATTGCATTTCCAAGCAATAGCCTATCCATTTATAGAGAACAGTGCTGCTGTACTAACTTTCCTTCGAGCTGTTGACAAAAGGGCAAACATACCATGCGTGGCGCGCACCATGCAGTAGCCTTTATCACCGGTGACAGCCAGCCGGTCTTCAGCGAGACGCAGCTGAGGCGCGCGATCGTGCAGCGCCAGCAGCACCGCGCCCGGACACAGCGCGCGGTACAGCCAGCCCGGGATAGGCTTGCCGCTCCACTCATTGTTCTCGTCAAACTCCTGACACACACGCACACAAAAGCCTCTTCATTCTATTCTATCTTAATATTATCTTACTAATATTATAAATGCGAATGTTTAGATAGATGGATGATAAATATTTTTTGAAAGTATCTCCAGAACGGCTGAACGGATCACGCAGAAATTTGGCAAAGATGCAGACTACAGTCTAGAAGAACACTTAGGCTACTAATTAAGTTTTTTTTTAATTCCACGCGGACGGAGTGACTGGCGACAGCTAGTCATTTACATGAGTTGACTTCTTTATTGGTAGATTATTGAGGCTTCCATAACACTGTTGATTAGATAGAAGTGACTACATAAGACACTAAACTGTATTATAGTAATACAGATAGGTCGGGATAGAAATTAGTTTAGATATGACGATAGATGAAAGAGGAAGAATATAGCTGACAATGTAAAAGTAGTCAAAATATCTTTTGTGAAAAAAAGTTTTTTTTGTTCAATAAATAATTTTTATTTTTTTAAATCTAACATAAAAGTGAAGACATAAAAACTGTTTCTTACGAAACATTTTCTCACCTGTCTGAACGGCGCTTGCGGATCAGGTTCAGCGAGGATGTACCGATAACCGTCCTTGTTAAAGGGGTGCTCGGTGGGGTAACCATGGCTGGGCAGCTTGAGGGCGCTCAAATCACTCGCGCGGCCCTTCTTACCGACCGGGGCACCCGTCTCCAATCCCCCTACAGCGGGCCGCCGCTTCCCCTGGCGACCCTTCACGTTACCGGCAAGTGGTACTGTAACACATCGGTACATTTTTAACAAATGAATTTTTATCGAATTGCTAATTTCAAATTGATGAGGCGATTTTAATATTTGTTTCATCATAACATTGAGTTATATTTAGTAGTAATTTGTGCGATGAGCAGACTTAAATTGGCTCTAAAAATCTTAATAAAATCAATTATTTTTAATAGAATGTTTTAAATATTTTTAACACGGTATCAATAAGCTTTGATATCAAATTAATAACATCTCTTATAATTTACCTTACACTAAAAATACATTCCGATAACGTTCCTCTAAAATTATTATGTTTATTTCACTGTTATATTTAAATAAAGTTACTTGTCAACTATCACTTCGTATTTAGCTTTATAGTTACGTTAGTTCCTCAGTGTAGATTAAACATGATAAATCTACACTAAGCCACTCTTAAGAAAACTTTAAACGACTGATCGTTGATTTTCGAGACCAAAATCTCTATTTAAAACATATCGTCATCCCTGTCATTATCTTTGACAAAACAGAGATAACAATAAGTTTTCAACGGGCTGTACTGGGCTGAATGAGACTAGAATTAGCTAGAATTCCATGCATTCCATTTATTTGGGTAATAAATATTTTTATCAATAATAAAACATGATGTAAAGATG